AATTTTTTCAAGAAAGTGAACGTTCTACCTCCTCATTTTGAGGCGCGCGACCATTAGGTCGCAAGTTGGTGAAATTCACGGCGGTGACAGAGCTCGAAACCCTGACCTCCGCCTCACCCAAACCCTAAAACTTAAGGGCCAACCAATTGGATCACAAGCCCGGTTGGCACAATTACAGTATTGTTATTTATTTTATTCTTATATATTTAAATCGCACTGCATATGTAACTAGTCCAGATTTGATTTTTGAAAGCAGCCGATCTTGCTCTTGATCTTGACCAGTGGGGTTTTCCATGCCGTGTCTGTGGGTAGACTGTGACGTGCTTTAGAATTTAGATTAGGTTAAACTTGCTAGTTTGGTCCTTAACTATTGTATAGTTTTTTAAATAGCTTTTAAATTTAAACAATTTTTAATTTGATCCTTAAAATTTGTAAACGTGATTTTAAATTTAATAATTATATATATCATGTTAATATTAAAATACATCAATTATTTTTTAATAAAATAACTCACTTAAAGTTAAATTTAAAAATTTAAGGAATCAAATAAGAAACTTTTTTAATTTAAAAACTAATACAAAAATTTATATAATAATTAAAGATTTATCCTTTAAAATAAGAGTAATGATAAAGAAGACGATTTTAAAGGACGATAACAAAAAACGACAAGTGAAGTAGGATCAAATTACAAGATACAAAATTATTAATTTAATCTTATTTCACTTGTCTTCCTTGATTTTCGTCCCCAAAATCGTCCCCCTATCATTACTCTTAAAATAATACTTTAAAATGTGTAAATTGAGGCTAGAAAATATCGCCCCCAAAAAAAAAAATGAAGAAGAAGTTAGAGAATGATAATGGGTTTCTGATTGGACTTCGTAAATAGATAGGAAATGAGAGAGTGGGGCCGGGAGGTCTCGGGGGTCTAAGCAGGTGGCGGAGGTAGGGACAAGGGGACCAACCATTTGGGTTAACGGCCCAGTGGACGACGGGAAGTCGGGTCCTAGTGGTCGGCTGGCGGCTGGTATGCTGTTGCTTGACCCTTGGGACGCAGAAGGGCATTAACTCAACACAGAACCTGGGATGCAGCAGGAGTATAAAATATAAGTTCTTTCAATTTTTTGGGAGTCAAGCGGTCGCTAGGTCTGTTTGTAGGCATCTCAAAACTAATTTGTACTGTCATCTTGAGTTATTTGTACTATCTTAGGAGTAAGGAAGTACTCAGTGCATTTTACTAAAAAAAAATAATTTTTTAAATATAAATTTTTTAGTATATTTAAAAAAAATTAAAATTTTTTTGGTACACCTAAAAGTCGATGTTGGATTTTGGATTATGGATTAATAGGGAATGCAAGCTTGGGATTTAGAGTACAAATCAAAACATCCTTTTGTTTTTCTGGTTTTTTTTTTTTTTTTGGGTTTTATTTAACCTAATAATATATTTGAATGGTGTTCAACTGTTCGTCAGTCCTATTACAATTTAGAATCATTCCCCTAAAAATTAGGTAATTTTAATAAACATTCTTCAATCTATCTTAAAAGTAATAGTTTTTTACTAGAAGTATTTTGAAGTATATAATAAAATATAACAATTTTTTATTTTTTAATCTACTTTACATATTATGTAATTTAAATCTAGATCTTTTACTTTTACTAAAAAGTATTAACTTTGGGTCATTTGATTTAAAACTAGCAATTTTAAAAATATACCTCAATGATGTGTAATTCAAACACAAATCTCCCTTTTTTTTATTTTGTTATTATTTTAGACTAACATATGGTATTAGATCTCGATTAATTCAAAATTAAGTTATTTCAAACTCTATAAAAAAAAAAATTCTCTCAATACTTGTTTTTTTATTTACAAAATTCCAAACATAAAATTTTATTTAAAGAAAACTAAATTCCTATTTCCATTCAGACCATCAGATCATTAGTTTTTATTTTTTTATTAATAGAGCAATTCAAACACAAATCTCTCAATTCGATTAAAGAATATTAGCCTTGGGTCTTAGAGCTTAAGCCTATGTTTGAATAAAAATTAGTAAAAGAAAGGAAGGGAAGGGGAGGGGAGGGTGGGGAGAAGTGAAAGAAAGAAAAATGTTGATATTAGTTTTGTTTGGATAGACAAAAATGAATGAGAGAAAAGGATTTTTTTATTTAATTAAATAATTTAATAAAAAATAAAATAAAAAAGGATAAAATTTAAAATTTTTTAATTAAATAAATAGTTGAAATAAAATATTTATATATTTATTCTTAAAATTTTTTAAATAAAAATAAATTAAATAATATAATTTGTCCTAATTCTTTCATATAGGAGGAATTGATCTCCTCTCCTTTCCCTCCAACTTTTTTAATCTAGATAGAGTGTAAAACTTAGAAGTAAAACTAGTAATTTGAAAATTATGCTACCTAATTTGGAAGAACTCTTTATTATTTTAGAGATAGAATGGATGTATACTTGTTTTTTTTTTTTTAATGAAAAATGAATTTATTAGTCCTTTTTCGCAAACTTTTAATTTTTCAAGTTTAAAAGAATCAGAACAAGCATCTAATTACTTTCAGGCTTTCAGCAAGTTCTTACGTGTGGATGATAGGAGCACGAAGATTGGGCTGAAATATCTTAAAAGTTCTAATTCCTCTTTAAAATTGACTTTTGGAATCTCCTTAAAATAAAACGATTTGAAAAGATTTTTTTTTTATTTCTCATAAAAAATAGTAAAATAAATAAATAAATAACCAATGTAAAATAAGTTAGTGCTTTTTTATGTATCTTACGTGTTTGACAAAATTTTAAAAA